ACACTGGCTGTTTTGAGCAAAACCTAGTGAGCTGACTGAGGGCAAGTGAGCTGCTGCATGCAGTCAGTGTCTTGGCTGTGACTTTGGAAAGTCTCTTTTCCTACCTTCTGCCTTCCAAATACAAGATATGGTCTTACTGGGATAGAAGCAGGGTGGTATGCAAGAAAATACAGTTATTTTTAAATCTACATTAGTAGCAGGAAAAGGCACATGAAAATGAGAACCATGAGAGAAGGTATATATAAACAGAAACAAGACTAAGCCCCTCTGAGCATGTAGATTAAGGGGGAGAAGCCCTCTAAATGTGCATGCCAGTTCTACACTAGTAGCTGTTTTTCCACGTGAATTGCACCTACATGGGGCAGAAGTAGCCACTGCCAATGATATGTCAAACCTACAGACAGATCTATGGAAGGCCACAGGCACTGTCGCTTCATTCAATACGGTTGGCACCACATCAAAATTACTAATGGGAGACTCGTACCAAGTTAGATGCAATTCTTGACAGGTGACCTATATTTTTTGTTTCTCCATTAGTCAAATTCAGTCTTCAGATATTTTTTGCCAATGACAGGCAAAAATGATTTTGTAGCCTAGCCTGATGCTATTCCCACAGCAGCAGTCAACACACATGAAACTTTAATGAGACCAGAATTCTTCTCTTGCTTTCAAGTTTGATGTAACCAGTATGGGATCAAAGCAACTGCGCTTTACTGAGACTTGCAGTCCAACAGCAATTGCTCTTTTCTTTTGTCCCCACCCCACTCTCAATCACTGATTAGCAGGCGCCAATTGGACAACAACAGGATTATTTTGTTCCAAACGGGAGATCAATATACTGCCGTCTCAGGAGATACCAATTTGAGATGTAGTCATCTTTAAAGCTTTTACAGCAGAGTCTATGAAGTGGAGACACTTGTTCAGAACAAAAAGAGCAGTTAGAAATTAAAATCTTATCAAGGTGTCAAGGCAGTAGGGTGAAGGCAGGTGCAGAACAGGATTACTCCAAGGGTGTGATCAGTGGTGGGGAAGAAGGCAGGAGAGCTGCAGTCGTGGTGGACCCACCCCCTATGAAAGCACAGCCTAGATTTATTGGTTAGTCCCAGTGAGAAAGGTTTTCAAATAAAATTAAAAATAATAAAATGATTAAATAAAAAATGGAATTAAAAAAGGTGACTGGAAAAAAAAAAAAACACACACACACACACAAAAACACTGGCGAGTTGCTAAAACAGTGCAGTTAAATCAGTCATGCACATTTGTGCTTACACAAAGAAAGGAGGGTTTCAACAAGCACTGCAGAGCAGAGAGGGAGAGGAGGACTGAGCGGCCGACAGCAGTAGTGGGACAGTACAGCTACCCTTTGGTTTCTTCTACACGTAAAGTCCAGGGATGGAAAGCAAGAGCTCTGTAAAATGCTGAAGGTTTTAGAAGTGTAATGGCAGGTACAAAAGGACATTGGTCTTGTGTCAGTAGCAGCCCCAGTATTAGGAGACAGTCTAGGCTTCTAGGAGGAGAAAATAGAAAAAGGGGGGAAAGAAATAGGAGAAGGGAAAGGGACAGGGATAGGGGCAAAAAAAGCGGAAGTCATTAGTAAACATGAACATTAACGCAACAAACTGAGTATCAAGCAAGAGTTCATTTAGCGCAGGCAGCAGATTTTCCAGACACCAGATTAGGCGCACAGGAAAAGTTTCCTTTATTATAAATCTGAAATCTCACTCATCCTGCAGCATGACAACCATCCAACATGCAGAAATTAAGCATGTTTCTGTATTCATAGCTTAGTTCTGCTGGCAGTATTCTGCCGGCTTCAGCCTCACGCTGTAAAAACTGCCTCAGGAGCGACCAACATCCCTGGCATGTCAGAATAGCCAGACACTACCCAGGGGAGTTATTGCTCATTTGGCAAAAAGAGAGGGGGAGAGGACGGGGGGGAAGAGAACACAACAATGCATTTTTCTGAGATCTGACTAATCCCAACTTCTGCACACATCAGATATCTGCACACAACATTGCATGCAATAAAACTCAGCAAGTCAGTGTGCTGGTCAGACTCTGGATACATTCCACAATAGAAAAAAATGGCATGCGACCACCTAGACCAGGAGTTAAAAAAAAAAAAAACAACAGATGCATTCATGCACCCAATTCCCAGAATTACATCGCACCCATCTCCCGAACACCTCCAGTAAAGCCTGTTAGTTTCAGGAACCCATTTAAAAGTGGCTTTATTTTTCTAAAGTTCTCCAGGGCCTCATTCTAGTCCATCTATTCCTCCAACAGCTGTCTGTCTCAACTGGTCTGAGGGTCTAGAAAATGAACACCCTTTGCTGTGCCTGCTTTCTGAAACAGTCAGCTTGCATTTTTGCAGCTCATCAATTCTGCATCTCACTTCCAACCCCTGAAAACTCCCTGTGTCTGTGCATCTAAATAGCATTCTCTGTCTATTATTAACTAACAAGCCATATGAGCTTCAATGTTTGAGATATTTTGAAAAAGACTAGGAAATAAGCTGGCATTGTGTGCATTTCCCATCACTCTGAAAACCCTAATTAAACTGATGCCTACAAAGCAACTTAGCTTTCCAGAGTGCCATTCCTATCCCTCTGATGTTGCCTTTAGACAGGCCTCACCAGAAGACTGCGAACTTCACCTGACAAATTCAAGTCCCAATCTGAGCCTAAAGTAACAGGCTGCAGATGCCTACAAATATTTGATCATGTTTTTAATATCTGGAATCTGAAGGATTAACATCCCTTCATTATTGTCCAAGACTGGGCCCTATGGAAGGCGATTCCCAAACTCACAAATCAATCAATCATCGAGAAGAGAAAAGCATGAGCTGATGAGTCTTAAAATATGATGTCACTGTGGGCCAAGTCTGGATTTCACTTTTTCCAGCATCTATATAAATACTGAGAAGAACATCCAAAGCATTTTTAGCGAAGCTCAGGGGGACACCTTATCTTTATTCTTAACTACAAGATCTGCAGCTCTACATTGCCAAGTAGGTACACCCCCCCTCCCCGTTTTAATTAAAAATTCTCATCCTCTGACAAAAGAGGTCAATACGGACAAGTGCGGGGTGCTGCACTTGGGCAGTAGGAACCAGCAGCACACTTACACAATGGGGAACTCCCTACTTGAGAGCACGGAGGCAGAAAGAGATCTTGGAGTCATTATTGACCCCAAGATGAACAGGGGCCGACAATGCGAGGTCATGGTTGGCAGGGCTAACCGGACCTTGTCGTGCATCCACAGGTGCATCTCGAGTAGAGCCAAGGAGGTGATCCTCCCCCTCTACGCGACGCTGGTCAGGCCACAGCTGGAGTATTGTGTCCAGTTCTGTGCGCCCCATTTCAAGAGGGATGTGGACAACATGGAGAGGGTCCAGAGGAGGGCCACCCGCATGATCCGGGGACAACAGGGCAGACCCTACAGTGAGAGACTGCGGGACCTGAACCTATTCAGCCTCCACAAGAGAAGGCTGAGGGGGGACCTGGTGACCGTCTATAAACTCACTAGGGGGGACCAGAAGGGTTTGGGGGAGATGCTGTTTCCCCTAGCGCCCGCTGGCATAACAAGGAGTAATGGGCACAAGTTGATGGAGAGGAGGTATAGATTGGACATCCGCAAAAACTACTTCACAGTTAGGGCGGCTAGGAGCTGGAACCAACTTCCAAGGGAAGTGGTGCTGGCCCCTACCCTGGGGGTCTTTAAGAAGAGGCTGGATGCCTACCTGGCTGGACTCATTTGAGTCCCATTTTTGTTTTGGGGGTTTTTTGTTCTCCCGCCCTGGCGGGGGGTCGGGCTAGAAGATCTACTAGGTCCCTTCCGACCCTAAATCTATGAAACTATAAGGTAGGTATGTGTGGGTATGACCACATGCAACTAAAGCCTGAGTGCATAAGAGTTTTCCGTCCCCTTCAACTTCAAGTTTGCCTTCCTGACAGCTAGACCTGCAGGAGCAAAGAATGCTATTGCTGGACAACACAGATTTGGGCGAGGCTGGATCACTGCCATTATAGTGCATTTGGCTTTAGTCTGCCAGGGAAACACCTCTGATTAGTGCCAAGGATGATAAGGAACTGCCAAGAACCCCATCTGTATCCTTAGTGGAGTAAGGATTGCTAAAATGCCCTGTGTATGTACTGGCATATAGTGCTGTGCTATTTCCCTTTAACGGTTACCCTTGACAGTCTCAGTTAACTGGAAGGCGTCTTCCTCAAAGGGACTGCCTTGATATACTGACAAGCGAAACAGTGATCTAACACATTGTAAAGTATTGTACGTCAAGGTGATTCGCTCATTCAGGTCCCCCATAACATAAGATTTGCCCACCTACTCATGTTGTTTCTCAAAACTCAAAGCTATTCTAGAATTACTGTTAAAAGAGAGAGAAAAAGAAGAATAAGTTTCAAAATGTCCTTAAAATTCCAGCATGTTGCCAAAGTGAGTGAGTTTAGGAGAGGTTTTAAGGGAAGAGGAGTCTGGGAGAAAAGAACGAACATACCAGAGAAGATGAACAGCTACATCAGAACAACCAGGGAATTTTTGCAGGAGCCAGTTAGTGGAAACCCAAAACTAACATTAAGAGAACATGTATGTAGTCTGGAGGTGCATCATAAAATGGCAGCTGCATTTGGAAACTGGACAAAGAACCAGTGGAAAGGTACACTCAAGTGATGCATTAGTATCTGTAATCCCTTAAAGAGTTACATTTAATATCAGTATCTTAGATAGCATCTGTCCTAGGTTAACTACGGATAAGGTAGGTGAAGTTTTCTAGAGGCCTTCATACACACGTGTAATTCTGGGACAGAAGGAACAGTTCTAACTTAAAAGTTCAAAGAAATAAAACTCAAGATGGGCTGGGAAGAGAAAGTCACACAAAAAAACGCTTTGCCAGAATGAAGCTCGCTTAGAATCAAGTGTTTCCTCTTGGTGCAGCCAAGTCCCCCGAAGCCCTGCGTTTCACCCAGATTTCCCACTCTTACCTGTGTTGTAGTCTCCTATGCCATGGTCACCATTCTCCAATACAGCCGCTGGTCCGGAAGCAGAGCTACCTGTAACAACCACAATGAATATCAATTTGTGGACAGATGTCATTCCCTGCCTATGCAGAGTCTTCCTGACATCTGATTAACAAGTAATTAAAATCTCTCCCCAGGCTGGGTCGATTCCTCTAGGCTGCTACAAAAGCTCTCTGGGTGGCCTCTCTTGCTGCCTTCTCTCTGCAATAAAATATTTGCTATCTTCTGTGAATCTTAATAGTCCCATGAAACAGGCCCAAAACAGTGTAAGTAGGGACTTGTGCAATCATCCATTTCACAGTTCCTACTAGCCAAGTCATAACATTTGGTTAATTTTGCTTCTGAAGGAAGGCCTGTAGCACATGTCCCTTAAAAGGGATATTAATAAGGTGCATTTTATCTTTGAAGTTATATGCATCTATTAATGCTAAGCTCTCTTGGCTTTACTACTGATTGCTATATTGCATGTGGATACTATCATTATAATCCAAGGCTATACATTAGCCAAAGAACTTGAGCACAATGTTTAAGAGAAGCTTGCATGTGACTTTCCTAAACCAGTTCAGGAGTGAGATCATATCACACAGAGCTCTTGATATGTCAATGTATGCTCTACTTGTATCAAGAGCCTCCAGGTGTTGCAAAGGTCCTTTGGCAGGGGATATATCCCTTTCTCTTACAGAGAATATTTGAACCTTAAGGAGACTGTGACATTTAAATCCTATGTTTCAAATTGCTTCAAAATAAGCCTGTTACTTTATCTTTCTAAATTTATGGAGCTGCCAAAACATAGCATAGGACAGAACCTGGCTGGTTCCATCCTTTAACCATGTTAGAGGCAGGAAGCTTGAAACAGGTTGAGAGTTATTTTTCTAGGTGATACAGCAAGACTAGAGCCCCAAACCAAAACTTTTCTTCTCCGATTTACAATTCAGGACCAATGCAGAAAACTGATGTACTTCTCCTAGCCAAACTTTAAATCAATACATACAGTTCAGGGTACTTGTATATAAGAACATTTCAGTTTGGACAGATTACAAAGGGTAAATGTTCAACATGTACATGCGAGGTTATTTATACGTGTGTCAGCTCACGTAATAGAGTACTTAATTGATCTTAACTGCATGATGCCTTAAAAAAACCAGAAGGCAGCTGAAGAATCAGCACTTACCTGCTCCTTTAGTTTCCATCAGCTCTTTCACTATTTCAAGAGCAGGCAGAGCCCACTCCACTCAAAGACTGCTTAAGGGAGAACTGTCTTAGAGTACTAGGATCTGCACCCTACCTGAAAAGCTCAAAAGGCAAACAAGCCCTGAGGCCCCATGGACACGTAAAACAACTGGGAACCAGAGGAAATTGGTTTTAATCCAAAATGCTGTCATCAAGGTACTCTGCAACCTTGGAAGATCGCATCATTTTGAGTTTCCCCAAGCATGAAACATGAAAAATACTTATGCATCTTTGAAAAGTTATTTGAGATCTATGAACAAGCGGCATAATGGAAATTAGCAGCCTGCAATACTATAATTTTGAAGAAAATGCATGTATTGCTCTATTACCCAAGCAGCTCTCTCTGACCCCCAAATATGCTGAGACAACTTGAAACCGATGCCACAATTCCAACCCAGGACTGTTCAGCTAGTTAGTAACCATACCCACCCTGTATCCTGCTCCACAAAATTTGTAAAAGGACTACAATTTAAAATCAGAAAGCAGACATTTTCTAAAACGCATCATAATCATTTAACAGCTGGATCCCATTGGAGTTTAGTTTGCCAGAATTCCTGGACTTCAGGCAACCACTTTAAGCAGACGTTACAAGGCCATTTACTAAGATGATGGAAATCAAACTCCTTGTAATACAGAAAATCTTTGACTACAA